CTAGATTCAGGTTATTGTCGCATGTTGTTTGTTCTCTACCTGAAGGACTCCCTTTAATTTTTCTTGTAAGTTTGGTTTGGTTTTTAAGTATTCCCTTAATTTCTGTTTATCTGGAAATGGCTCAGTTTCTCCATCTTATTTGAGAGAGTGTTTTGCAGGATACATTATTCTTGGTTGGCAGTATTTTTTCTTTCACTGTTTTATATATGTTATCCTGTTGCCTTCTTGCCTGCATAGATTCTGCCTTGTAGTCTTCACTGTCTCTCCTTTGTAAGTGACTTTTCTGTTTTCTTGAGCTCCTCTAAGGATTATTTTTTTGTCTATGGTTTTGGCAAGTGTGATTATGATATGTCTTGGTGACTTTCTTTTGGGGTCTATTCTAAATGGGGTTTGTTGAGATTCATGGATGGTCAGCTTTTTGTCTTACATGATATTAGGAAAGTTTTGTGCCACCAAATCTTCATCTATTCTCTCTGTAATTTCCATTTTCTCCCCTGTTCTGAAACTCCAATCATGCACAAATTTTTGTTCTTGATTGTGTCCTAAATAATTCTTAGGTTTTCTTCATTCTTTTCTCTGATTTTTCCTCAAACCAATTGGCATACATGGATTTGCCTTCAGTCTCACTGATTCTGTCTTCCATTGTTTCAAATTTGCTCGCAAAACCTTCTATTGAGTCGCCCATTTCTGAAATTTTGTCATCTTTGGATTTCTAGTTGCTGTTTTTTTTTATGATTTCTAATTGCTTGTTTATTTTGAAGTTTTGTCCTTGTATGATTTTCCTGAATTCTTATTGTTTTGTCTATGTTTTTGTTGATTTTGGCTATGTTTTTGTTGGTTTTGTCTGTGTTTTCCATTTTGTCTATTTTTTCCTTTGATTTGTATGTGTTTTCCTTGATCTCTTTCCTAATATCTTGGCAAGCCCTAATAATTAGTCTTTTGAATTGCACATCAGGTAGTTCCACTGCCTTTTCTTCTACCAGAAGGTCATCTGATCCTTTATTGGTTACTTGCTGGAGCCATCTTGTCATGCTTTTTTGTATGTTTTGATATTGTCTGCTGTCTCTGAGGCATTAAGGTATTATTTTCTTTATTTATTGATTGTATGTTTGTTTTGTTCTGCTTTTTTGTTTTGTTTTGATATGTCTGGGCAGACAGGCCGGGTGTGCTTTGTTGCTTGCTTGTCTGTGGGCATGATAGCTCTTATCCTTGTCCGGATGGGCAAGCAGGTCGCTCAGCTGTGATGCGGTGGGGCGGGGCCTGCAGGTAGGGAGGACAGCATGCTGGGATGCTCAGCTGCAGGGAAGGTGTACAGGGCCAGTGGGAAGGGAGGGGCATGAGGCTGGGTCACTTTGCTGTGGAGCCACAGAGTGGAGCTGGTGGGGTGGGAGGGTCATGGGCTGGGATGTTTAGCTGTGGGGCACTGGGGTGCAGCCAGCAGGGAGGGAGGAGGTACAGGGCTGGATTGCCCTGCTGTGGTGCAGCAGGGTGGAGCTGGCAGGGAGAAAGCACATGCAGGCTCTATGCCAGGTCACCTGGCTGCAGTGTAGCAGTGCAGAGCAGGCAGGGAGGGAGGGGGTGTGCACTGGGTTGCCCGTGTACAGTACAGAAGGGCCAGAGTCAGCACGGAGGGAGGGACATGGGCTGGGGCACTCTACTGCAGTGCAGCGGGGCAAAGCTGATGGGGAGGGAGGGGGCATGGGTACTATGCTATGTTGCCTGGCTGCAGTGCAGCAGTGTGGAGCTGGTGGGGATGGAGGGGGTGCAGCCTGGGTTGCTCCGCTGTGACACAGCTGGAATGGCTAGCAGGGAGGGGGTACGCATACCTGGGTTGGTCAGCTAAAGTGCAGCGGGGTGTGTCTGGCTGGAAGAGAGAGGTGGGAGGGAGTGTGAAACGGTCTAGATTGGGGGGGATAGGATGGGTTTGTACTGTGTCCCTGGCAGTTGAGGATGCTGGGGTGGGGCAGTTCTTGCCACTACTCACCAGAATGGTGGGGGTTGTAGGAAATTGCTCCTCTGCTTATTGTGTGAGAGCATCTGGGCACTTCCTTGAGCTGCAGCCAGCAAACGGGACCTTACTTTGCTCTGAGTGTGTCCATGCTGTTTCTCTGTCTTCTGTCGGGAGTTCCATGACGGTGTCTTTCTGTGCTCTTTGTGTGGGGTTTTTGGCTTTATCTCAAGATGGCTGCACTGTGCTGTGCTGGTCAGCCGGGAACCTCCACTCTGTGTCTCTACTTGTTCGCTGTATTCAGTTTCTTCTTCCCAGTGCTTTCTGATCCAATGCTTTATCCCTTCATTTAAAGTTCAGGGTTCCAGGATTAATGTCTTTATCTATTCTATTTGGTTTTTCAGGTCTTCGTTGCACAGGGATGGCTTGGTGCATCTGACTAGTCTGCTATCTTAGCTCTGCCTCTGAAATCCTTATAAAATTTGGCTTCCATGACACACTCTCCTGGGCTTTCTTCCTGCCTTGCTGGTTACCCCTTCTCAATCTCGTTTGCTTGGTCCTTTTTCTCTTCCTACCTCTAAAGATTAGTGCAGCTTGGGACTCATTCTCTTCTCAATCTGCACTCACACCTTTCATGATCTTATCCAGTCCCACAGTTTCAAATAGCGTCTGTGTAGTAATACATCCCAGATTTATATCTCTAGCTCCGACCTTTTCCCGATTCCAACTCATATATCCAACTTCCTACTGAATAACTGTATTTGGATGTATAACAGGTCCCTCAAACTTAACTGGTCAAAATAGAACTCTTGATTTCCACTCCACCCAAACACATTTCTACAATTTAGTTACTCAATGGTATCACCATTCACTTATTTCTCAGCTCTTAGATTCGTACTTCACTCATTTATTTCCCTTACCATTCACATTCAACCCATTTAGCAAGTGCTGTTGGCTTTAACTTCAGATTATATCTGGATTCTGATCACTGCTGACCTTCATTGCTTTCTTCACCTAGATTCTGACCATCAGTGCTTACATCTGAGTCTTACCTATTATTGTCCTTTGTCTGGACTACTGGTCAACATCTTTATACCTTATCTCTTTGCTTTCATTCTTGCCCCTTTACGGTCTCCAGCCAGCAACCAGGAGGGCCTTTAAACATGTAAATCTGTTTATGTCCCTTTAATGCTCAAAACTCTCTAGTGCTTTATTTCAATCATGCTTAGAATAAAATCAAAACACTTCACTGTGGTTTATAAAGTTCTATATTACTTGGTTCCTTCTAAATGCATTTATCACCTTTGAGTCTTTTAGTCCACTTTATCTACCCTGGGATTCTGGCTTTTCCTTCAATCTGTCAAGGTCATGATTGCCTCAGAGTCTTTGCACTTGCAGTTCTCGTATATTGACTTCTCTTCCTTCTGACATTGCATGGCCTGAGAGAGGCCTTCCCTTACAAAAATCTATTCCGTCTAATACGTATTCCCTTCATCGGCCTTTATTTCTCTTCACAGCAGTTAGCACTACCTGAAAGAGAGATTTATTTATTTGTTATCTGCCGCTGCTGTCTAGAATGTAATCTTCATGAGTACAGGAATCTTGTGTTTAGGGTCCTGATGTATTCCTTGTGCCCAGAACAGTGCCTGGCACATAGCAGGCATTTAATTTGTTTAAGTTACCAAATAAATACAAGTGGCAATTACATTTCTCAAGTTAACATTCCCAGACTGAAGACACCATCTCTTTCAGAAATGTGCTCTTCTTCCAGGTTTGTGATCCTAAGTGAATTGGGTCACCAAGCCCTCCTTGCTCAACGACTCATCTTTGGCCCTTTCCTCCTCCTTACTTTCCATTTGAAATCCTGTTCACTGTACTTATTAAACATCTCTTGAAACTGTTCATCCCCCACCATTTCTCTAATCCATTAAGTTACCATCATCTCTGCCTGAGCCTTCAAACCTCAAGCCTACCTCCCTTTGAATTAATCCATCACACTGCCTTCAAATAATCCTTCTAAAATGCAAATCTTACCATGCCACTCCCTAGCTGTGAAAATTACAGTCTCCCCATAACCCTCAGGAGCACCGGTGACATAGTAGTTAAGAGCTTGGCTGCTAATCAAAAGATTAGCAGTTCGAATCCACCAGGCGCTACTTGGAAATCCTATCCGGCAGCTCTACTCTGTCCTACAAGGTCGCTATGAGTTGTAATCAACTCAACGGTAACGGGTTTTCGTAGCCCTCAGGATGGTGTTTCTTGTCTTTCTTGCTGAGCAATAGCTCTTTGTGGGCAAAACTGTACCTGGCATTTTTTGAATTAGAAGGCACAGTTTTAGTGACATATTATGGGGACATTTAGACTGCTTACTGGAAGCAGTAACACGGAAAAATGTTGACGAAATTAGAAGGATTAGCCATTCCCCTATTATTGTTATACTATTATGATTGTAGGAGCCCTGGTGGCGCAGTGGTTAAAGTGCTGGGCTGCTAACCTAAAGGATCCACCAGCCAGCCGCTCCGGAAGAAAGATGTGGCCGCTAGGGCTTTTTTCGTATAAGATTTACAGCCTTGAAAACCCTATGGGGCAGTCCTATTCTGTCCCATAGGGTCGCGACGAGTCAGTATCCACTCGACAGCAGTGCTGTTACGATCGAAAAAACTGTTATCATGGCTGTATAAGCGTATATAGCATGGAAGAAAATAGGGAAAAATGGAAACAGCTGTTACAATGATGGAATTTTAAGTGAATATTTCTTTTAAACACTTATTTCAACCATGATATAGAAAAAGAGTTTTTTTCCTCCCTTGCTTTTTTTGTTTTTAAGGAACGGCCTCTACTATGGATTCGAGAGTCACGTTCGTCCACACGTTCCCACTCCTCTGAGCACGAGTAAGCAAACGGCCCCACAAGGCCACCGTTCACAGGGTGAACCCGCCCAACGCTCGCCTGCGTTGCGAAGAGCCACTCCTCCGGCTCCCTGCGCTCTCTCCGTCCCATTTCCTCCCTTCAGGCCCCGCCCCGCGCCGGTGCGCCTGCGCACAGACGAACACGTGGCTGCCGCGGCGCCAGAGCAGCAATGGCGGCGGGCGGCGGAGGTAGCGGCGATCCCCTGTCTCCGGCGGGGGTCCCTTGTGCCTTCTCCCCGCAGAGCCAGGCCTACTTTGCTTTGGCCTCTACAGACGGTCACCTGCGAGTGTGGGAGACAGGCAACAATCGGCTGCACCAGGAGTACGTGCCTTCCGCGCACCTCAGCGGTACCTGCACCTGCCTGGCCTGGGCGCCAGCGCGGCTGCAGGCCAAGGTAAAGCGAGCAGGACGGCGAGGGGCAGGCGCCCGCCGGGGCTCGGCCTCAGAGCCCCCGTGGCTCGGCGGCGCGTGACCCGACATCGCGCGTGGCTCTTGGCGGCCCGGGATGAGGAGGCACGGAGCGCGGCGGCGGCGCAGACTGGGCCCGTGCCATCAGCTGGGTGTGCGGCCTGTTGGGAGTGCTGCGGGAGAGGGCGCGGCCCGATCCAGCGGGCCTTGGACCGGAGTTCATCGGACGGGCCCCGTGCGGTTTGCGCCCCACTGTTGCCCGGACATGTCGCCATGTTCGCCAAGGGCCCCAGCCCCCCAGCGCCGCTTCCTTTTGCCGGCCCCGCGTATCAGCATGCACTCATCGGATTCCTGGTTGTTGACAGAGCCCCCTCTTGGGGCTATTCGATTCTTTTCCAACCCCGATCTAGCTCATCGGCTTTACCTGGGCATTTGGGATGAACGTCTGTTTCCTTGCTGCCAAACACCCTCCCCCCACCCCCCGCGAGTGGCGGCTCACCACGTGTTCTCTTTCATGTTCAGATGGTGGGACTCTTCACTCTTGAAACTCTTGACTATCCCGGTCTCCTCTCTATTCTCAACCTTTGAATCTTCTTGCCTGTAGGATATGTAGGCGAAATGAAGCAGTAGTTTGACTTATTGAATGTGAGTCCAGGTGAGGTTTCCCGTAGGTGGATAACTGCCAAGTTAGGGAAGGCTTTTCACACTGTTAGGGACCATCTCAGGTAAGATGCCATTCCCTTTTGAGTCACTGGACTACATCTGCTCTAACTCACGCACGTGGTAACTGAACTTTATAAGCGCCCAACTGAATCACTCCAAAGTGATTTAGAGGCACCAGGTATTGTGGGGTGTGTAGCGTTCAGCAGTAACCATGTTTAAAACTTCAAAAACTGGTATTCAGTATAGATCTTACTCCATCTGAGTACGCCAGGGAACCTTCTGCTAAATTTTTTGGGTTGGGACTAAAGATACATCTAACTTGCTATACTTCGTTGAGTGTGTTTAGATACTTTTTTTAGGCTAGATTTTTGTAGATTCTAGATGAAGTGACTCTTGTTGCATAATGGAAGAAACCTATCAGGGCTCTTGAATCAAGCACACAAAACGGACTTTTTTCTTAAATCATAGTTGTCATTAAAATTAGAGCACTCTGCTTTTTTTTTTCCCCTCAAAGTTGTTTGCTGTGTTTGTATTTTAGCAGTCCTGTAAAGTGGAAATAAACAATGCTGAGGGAGAAATACTGAGTAATGGTTAAGTGTGTGGACCCAAGCTAGACTGCCTGTGTTTGAGTCCAGGCTCTGCTTGATGGTAGTAAGTGTGCCTGTATTTCCCCATCTGTAAAAAGGGGATAATAGTACCCACTTAATAGGGTGGTTGTAAGGTTAACGTATTAATTCATAAAGCACTTGGGATAGCTCTTGATGCATAAGTGCTATAAGTGTTAATTACTGTTGTTGTTAAAGTCCGTATTTGTAAGGTGAACTGTACAACGTAATCGGGAAGGAACTTCTTTGCCTTGTTTGAGAAGAGGAAACTGAGGCTTTGGAAAACTAAGCAACTTGCCTAAAGCCAAAAATGGAACCAGGACTAGCACTCAGGTCTTCAAAGGTCAAGTCTTGGTTATCTGCAACAAATAGTTAATATTATGTTGGCAAAATGTCACCCACTTTGCTTTTCTGATGACTTACAATTACATTGTATGCCCCAGGAGTGGCATTTTTCCTAATCCTAACTTTACTGTTAAAAGTTATTCTTTTGAATTGATACAGTAGAAAAATAACTGGATTTGTGTCATAACTAGGACTTCTGACTCAAACTGCTTTTGTCATATTGAGCTGGTCACTTTAATTTGGGGTATCATTTGAAAAATGAGTTGGGCCATATTTAAAAGGTTTTTATAAATTTCAGTATCCTTTTACCTGCACTTTCTCATTTTAGCCACACAGCAACTCATGAAATGTGTTGAAGTTATTGTCTTTTTCAGAGTTGAAAATCAGAACTAAGAAAGATTAAATGTCTTGACCAAAGCCTTAATAATCAGTAAAGTAGCTGTGGCCAGTAGTGAGTGTCGTGGTACTCTGACTGCTTGTCCAGTGCCCTTACATTGTTATCTTGCATCTTGAGTCACAGAATTGAGAGCTGGAAGGAAAATAGAGACACCCAGTCCTCATGATCTGGGGAATGTATCTTCCTGGAGCATCAATTTTACTTGAAAATGAGGGAGAGAAGTATTTTTCCTGTATTAAACTATATTATGGAATATAGTTAAAGTCACATGACTTTTAAAGATAGAAAATGAAGAGTCACGTGTAGCAACTGCTTCAAGCCCTGCCTTCCAGTCCCTGGGTTATGTTCCTTGCCACTTTTAAGTTTTTAGATGACCTTATCTCATTTAAACTCTTGCCTTTATTTTTACATCACTGAATCTCTCAGAATATGAGGCATTAAAAGGATGTTATTCTGAAACCCATGTGCCCAGTACCTTGTTAAGGTCCTAACATTTAACAGTCAGACTTGAAACGGAGATGATACCACCCCTGTTCGGAGCCCTTGGAGGATTAAATGAGGCAGTGCCTATGAATGGTGGAGGACGGCCTGGCATGTAGTAAGTGCTCAATAAATGTTGTTATTGATGAATAAGTGAATGTTCTGCCTGGACTCATTTTATCATTTAATGCTGCATTCCTAAATGTAATTCAGTTTGTAAGTGAATCCTGCATCTGGGTCAGTAATTGACAATTTGCCACCCAAGTACAGAGTGTGCTGAAGGCATTCTTATCAGTGGAGAAAAATGAGTTAGCGTTGGGTTTCTTGGGTAAGGAGTTAAGGCAGTGTTTTATAAATGTTTTGAAAAATTAGATTGCTGTTTTTTGTTCTTGGTCACAGAATGATTATAATACTTTGCACTTATGCCACAGTAGTTTTAGAGGTTTTTTGCACAACCAGCTGAGCATTCCATTGGTTGATGGAGCTTGGGGGAGGGGGACTTCTAGTGAAGACAAGAAAATAATCTAGGAAAGTACAAGGATACAGACTGATAGACTATAGATGGATGTTGTTTGTAGAGCTCAGGTTTATGTGTGTAAACTGAGGCTGAAATAATAAATGGCATGCCAAAGCAACATAGCAAGTGACTGAACCACCTAAGAACTGATCCTCCTGTTTCATTGCCCCCTAAGTCTTTCAACCCCCACCCCCGTTCCTAGTGCCCTGGAGGAACACACCTTGTCTACTGGGCTGCTACAGTGAACCTGTGCTGCTTTTCTGTCACTGTAGTTGAGATGACCTCACACAGCTCAGTACTTGTTGAAGCACATGGCTTTTCAGACATTGGACTAGATGAGCACGCTAGCAATTAAGGATGTTTTTGGTAAAGTTTGAACTAAGTATTTCCACTCTCATCCCTTAGAGATGGGTTTCTGTATAGTGCTCTGCCTTGAGATCTCTCCAGTATTGAAGCTTCAAAAGAAGGTGAAGTATGCAGATTCGATCCCACTGGCAGAAATAGAAGCTTCTGTGTATTAGAATTTAATGGTTCTGATATAAATTTTGTATGTAATATGTAAAAGGCACAGATTTTGTTTACTGTTAGCCTTGAAACTTAAATGCCAGACTAAGTGGCAGTAAGAGGCCACACATGCAGTCGCTGTGAGTCGGAATCGACTTGAGGGCAACTGGTTTTTTTTGAGTTTGCAGAGTGAAACTTAAAACTGGCATATTTTTCAGTGTCAAAAACTTGTTGCTGTCCAGTCGATTCTGACTCATAGTGACCCTAGAGGTCAGTATCTTTTACAAGGAGGTTTTGATACATTAGTGGGTTGTGAAATCGATACACTGTTGTAGGTTGTGATGGCATTAGAAAAAATGAAATAGAATAGAAAATATCAGCATATTAACACATGGGTAAGGATAAGTATTTTTCTGTGAAATTTGTTTCAGTTACACATGCGTATGTTTTTGTGAGTGTTTGTACTGGCTCTCCGTGTAAACTCTTCTTACCGCGGGGTCTCAGTCTAGAACGACTTTTTCTTCTAGACATAGTTACTGATCGAGTGCAGACTTCTCATCACCTGGATGTACTTTTTATCTTGTGTGTCTTCACCTCATCTGTATTAGCTGCTTTGATAAATCATGTGCCGTTCAGACTACTCAGCCTTCTGATTGCCTTCTGGATCAAATGCTGATAAGCTTCCTCAGACAGGTATTTTGGTATTCATTGCTTAGCTCATTCTGCCCTTCACTTTGGAAAAAACTCCATAGTCTTAACAAGTCACACCCTTTTGGCCTTCAGTCCTGGTGCCGTCAGGAGCTGAGACACAGTCGCAGTATGTGAACTAAGTTTTTAGCCTACCTTTTTCATTAATTAATATAATTAGGTGTATAATTAATGCATACATGACATTGTGGTAGACACTTTGGCGGAAACAAAAGCGAGTATGACAAAGACGTGGAAGAGATGAAAACAGTTCAGACTCACTGTGTCTGTAATGCAGAGTAGAGTATGACTTGTGCCTTGTGCCTTGTGAGAAAGAGGAGGCTTTTTTGGAGGAGATAGCATTGAGGTGGATCTCTAAGCAAGCATAGGATTTTTAACCAGTGAAAATTGAAGTGAGTAGGAAAATGATCCTCCAGGTGGAGGGAAAAGCAAGGTGGAAAGTGTGTGTGTTTGGGGGAGTGTAATGTAAGATGAAATTGGAGATACGGCTGGAAAAGGTGGGTTGGAGGCAAATTGTGGATGCATTTGAATGCTGTAGAGGAGTTGATATTGATTTACTCTTTGGGGAGCCATTGAAGTTTTTTGGTCATTGGAATAACAGGCTCAGGTAGCGGATGTCAACCAAGGTCTGTTGTAATCTATATTCTAATCATCAGTAGCACTAAACTTTTGTTTTCAGAAACATTGAATAAGGGATAGTATTTAGAACAGCAGATTTCACTAATGCACATATAAACTTTTGATCCGGCTGGTGTGTTTCCTGTTTAGACATGCTCATCTTGCTGAATGGGAAGTTGTTTAAAAAAGAGATCATTCAACCCTGAGAAAACATACGTGGTCAGTAGTTTGAAATTAAATTAATTAATTGGATTGTTATTTTAGATTTAAACCAGTAAGCTTAAAAGTTGGGCATAGATCCTGTGGATACTCCTTCCTTCCCCTTCTTGGCGTTTACCAAAAAATATGGAGATTTTGCTGTCAGGGACATTGTGGCTTTGACTGTGGTGATGTTTGATTTGAACACAGTTTTTGTGCTTTTTAATGCAAACTCAAATCTGCAGTAAAACAAACATTTGGGTCACACTGTTATTCACACATTGAGAAACCTTGGTTTAGATAATTTTTATTTGATTTTGAAGAACAGAGTAGACATATTTTCTGGATTCTTTCAGACAAGAGTTTTCTGATGAGGTTAACATACCCTTCCCCATGAATATTTTCCTTCTCCTTGTCTGAAGTAGGAGTTTGTGCAGCGACCACATTTATGCGGGGTGGGGGTGGGGTGGGGGGAGTGGGTCATTCGGAGACGGCTTTTAGAAATTGATGTAAACTGACAGTGGGACCTAGGACACTCTTTGTGCTAAAGCTTCAATGTTGCAAGCAAATTAATTGTTACTGATGAGACTGGCAGACTTTTTTATACTCTGGCTTTTAATTGTAATTTCTCTGGATCTTTTAATTAGATACATTTCTCAGGATTATTTTTCCTGTATGTAAAAAGTTACCTTATTTTTTTGTTAAATCTTTTTACTTTTTGTTGGTCTGTGTCCAATACACCAAATTCTTCAAATGTAACATTCCTGTAAGATAACTAAAAGGAAAAAAAAGAGAGAAATGATTTATAAATATGTTCTGATGGTCTTTGTGCATTGATAACATTGTAGGTTTTCATTGGTGATTCCTGGGTTGGGCAGATTTTTATGTGTCCTGGGCTTCTTTTTTGTGCTGTGGAGTAATGATCCTGCACTATTAAGAAAATGTTCTCTTTTCTGTGGTATTGGTCTGTTTTTGCATTTGAGAATGGATTTTTCAGAACTTCTTTATGCTAAGATACATGGTCTGGGGTGCTTTAATTAAAAAAACTCAAAAATGTGGAAGAGAAGTTCTGAAATTGTGACTAATTTTTTAGTACGTGTGAACTCTGATGTAGTGCTCTTAAGTTGTGATCGTTGATTTTCTTTTTGAAAGGTGTTATCTGTTAGCATCACTTTTGAAATACATCAAAAAAGTCTCGTGGCACTTGCCAGTATTTTGAAACTTGTTTCTCTTATGCGGTAGAATCACCAAGCCAGCATGGAACTCCCAAACCAGCCCTTGATCAGTCACTAGAGCAACTTCTCACATGCTTACTCTGAGCTTCCCTGTTAGTTACAGCTATTTGTTGATTCAAATGGAGGTAAATGCCTGTTTATAAATGTCAAGACCCACGTTTCTGGGTTTCTTAAGCTAGAAAGAAGGAAAAGATTTAGGGGACCCAAAGGGAAGAATTGTCTGTTTTGGTATGGCTGTGTGATCCCTTTACTTGGGTGCTGGAGGCTTCACTTGAACCTGTCAGGGGGAGCAGGTGGTTTCTGAGAAGGGGAGGCAGCAGTGAGGTGCTGGACCTATTAAGATAAATGAGAATGTACCAGGCTGTCCTGTTTGCCTTCTTCCAGAGGGTCAGGAGACAGAGGACAGAATTTTGAGTTCCTGCTTTTCCTGTTGGAGTACTATTTTTTTCCCCTGTACATGGTGAGAAAGAAATCACCTGAGTAGCCCCCTGCCCCGTAAAAAAGTGTTTCTGAGGATCAGTCTCATTTCTTTTACAGGCTAATGGAGATTATATTTACGCGTTAATGATGTTTTAGTGTTTGACATACTAAATACAAAAACTTTGTTCTTTTTTCCTAGGAGAGTCCACAGAGGAAAAAAAGGAAATCAGAAGCTATAGGAACAAGTGACCAGATTGACTTGTTGGCTCTTGGTACTGCAGTTGGTAGCATTTTATTATACAGTACAGTGAAAGGAGAGTTACATAGTAAATTAATAGTAAGTATATGTGTGTGTGTGTGTATATATATATGTGTATATATATATATATCTCTATATATAAAATGTATGAAAATGTGAAAGGGAAATCAGAGTTAGAGTAAAAACAAAGCCCTTCACAGTGTGCTGCAGGATCTGTGCTAGAGAGGCACCCTTCTGCCCCTTCTGTATGTAAAGTACTGAAGAATAACATTTGATAATAGCTATACTAGGTAACATAGTCCTCACGGGTCAAACACTGTTATAAGTAATTTAGTTAATCTTCACAACAGTTCTAATAGGGGGATGGTGTTATCATCTCCAGTTTACAGGAAAGTAATTGAGGGGTTAAGTACCGTGCCGTCCTAAGGTTACACAGCTGTTAACTGGTAGAACAAGGCATTGAACTGGGAGTCTGGTTCCCGAGTTTTGGGTTCCTGGCTGTGCTTTCCATTGCAGTGGTGTCCAGTTCTGAATGTTCTGAATCTCCGTTGTCCAGTGCAGTAGCCACTAGCCATGTGTGGCTGTTGAGCACTTCAGATGTGGCTGGTGTGACTGAGGAACTGAATTTTAATGCTATTTAATTCTAATTCGATTACATAGCCACATGCAGCTAGTGAATATTGTATTGGAAAGCACACTCTACTGCTCCTTGGGCAGCCCATTTGATGTTGACATTCAGTCGTCAGTAAAGTTGGGATAATACTTACCTCACTAGCTTCCAGTGAGGACTAACTGAAATAACATTGAAAGTACTCTTTAAGCTGTAAATCTTATGGAAATTTAAGTAGTTTTTAGTCTGGAAAAGAAGAAAACTGGATTTTATCTTCTGATAATTACTCATCATGCTTTTAAATCTTTCCCACCTCTTCTGATTTCTCCTGTTAAACTCTACCATAGATTGCTAAAGCCAAAGAAAAAAGTAGATTCTAGGAAGAAGAAAGGATTGAAAGCAGTTTGTGCTGTATGCCTTCTTTCCTCATTCCTTCTTGTGTTTAAACTTCCCATATTGAGGCTGATTTTATAGCCTGAGAATGCCACTATCAGGGCCCAGGTGGTAGCAGAAACCACCTTAATTATTTGAAGAGAGAATTTAACATGAAGAATTGTTAATGAGCCTTCAAGTAAGAAAGGGTAAAATACTCTAAGGTATCACAGGAGTAGCAACTACAGGAAGCAGGTCCTCACTTCTAGGGCTAAGGGAACAAAGGAAGAGGCTGGAATTATTAAAACTTAGAAACTTAAGAGGAGGAGCCCTGTAGGGCTGAAACTCAGATCTCTTAGGAGGAAGTGCTGCTCTGTTGGTGCTGCTGTTGAGAAGTGACCTCATATGAGTTTGGGGTTCAGACCTCTGAGGAGGAGGCTCCAGCTGCCTGGAACTGAAATCTCTGAAGAGAGGTGATGAGACTGGTTCTCCAAGTGCTGGAAAAATTGCACATTGGATTTAGCAGCCGTTGGAGGCAATTGTTGCTACTGGGGTAAAAAGTATTGTTGGGTTGATACAAATCAGACAGGAAGGATCAAGTCTCTTGTTCCTTCTCCAGCCTTCTAGTCTCCCTCTTGCACTGCTTGTAGGCACAGCTTACTAGGGATCCAGCCAGCAAAGCAGAAATATGGATTGCAGAGTTTCAGCCCCAACGTTACAGAGCGGGGTATAGAAGGGTGGATTTGGCACTGAGAGCCAGTCACTTAAATGGCGTACTTTGTTTCAGACAGCATGACATGTTTCTGTTGTTCACTGGAGTCCTGTATATAGAAGTACTTATTATATGTATGAATAAAACAATTTTTCTCATAGAAAATTTGGAACTACATAAAGTTGAAAATGGAAAAAGCTTATATTTAAATCACCGAGAGAGCCACTGTTCATAGTTTGTGTATTTCTTTGTTTTATGTGCATGTTTAAAAAATATGGTTGCGTTCTGTCTGTGGATTTTGTATCCTGATTTTTTTCATTAAAAGTATGCAGTATATTTTCATATTTGTCAAAAACTAGTTATAAGCATTTTTTAATGACTGCCTAAAATTCCACTGAATTGAATAGTCCATTGGTTACTTATTGATCATTTAGGTGGCTTCCAAATTTTTTTGTTATTATAAAACAATGTTTTTCTTTTCTTAAGTGAATTCCAAGAACACTAACTTGTGATTACTGAGTCAAAGGGTTTGAGCATAAGGTTCTTTATACATAGTATAAAAATACTTCCCAAAGAGTTTTCCTTATTTGTACTTATATCAGCAATGGAAGGAGAGTGGTGGTGTTAGTTGTCATCAGGTTGATTCCGAAAAAGGTACCTGTATTTTAATAATATTATTGCCACCATTAAATATTCCCTAAAACAATAGTAACAGCAACAAACCCAGCTAATTTGGTAGCTGAAAATTTTTTTCTGATTTTAAATATGCATTTAAAATATGTTCTTTGTTCTTACTGTAAAGATTATAACAGTAATATATAGCTTTAACAAAATTCAAGGCATTCAGAGGTATGTACAGCAAGAAGGGAATTTTACTTTCCTCCTCCCTTCTCGCCTCCAAGTTGAGTGTGGCCCTCACATGGGCTCTGACCCCACTGTAGTTTGGAGCTTGACCTTTGTTGGGGTTAGCAGGTACCCGGCATTCTGTGCTGCAGGCAGGATACTTACAGAGCCTAGAACTTCTTTTCAAATTGTTTCAGTACCTCACTGGATTATAAATACATCTTTAACAGGGATGAATTTATCAAAAGGAACACTGAGGGTAAGGGTGAGGCGTATTGGGCTGGTGTGGTGAAGTAGAAAGAGAGTAGGCTTTGGAGCTAGTCTGTACTGAGGTTGAATTATGTTAGTTACGTGATCATGGGTAAGTAATTTAACTTCTTATCTCTTGAATGGATATTATACAATCCTCCTGGCATGACTATTGAGATTGAGAAGTAATATATTGAAAGTGCTTAGTGCAGTGCCTGGAATGTAATTGATATTTAGTAAAAGTTTGTTGAATGAGTACGTTAATGAATGGGTGAACGTGCCAAATTGCTTTACAGAAAAGTATACTAATTTTCACTGCTCCTAGCAGTGTTTCGTTCTGTTGTACATGGGGCACTCTGAGTCAGAACTAACTCGACAGCACCTAACAACTAGGAATATATTATAGTCCTATTTTTCCTGTAACTTCACCAGCATGAGTATTATAATACTAAACAAATTGTTAGGTGAAAAGACTGAAAATGCTACTATATTTTGCTTTGATTACTCGCAACGTTGACTATTTTAATGTATTTTCTTACCAGTTTTTTTTAATGCAATTTATCTGTTTTTATCCTTTGTTCAGTGCATGTGTGTGTGTTCTTTGAGTAGACAGCTGGTGGGAGGGAATGTTACATTCATTGAATGTAACATTTAAAAATTTTTTTTTAAAGTGGGAACAATATTTCAAATAGCATCACTGATTTTTGAATTATAACTTTACTTTATCCTTAGCTTAAACCCGTTGCTGTCCAGTCGATTTCAACTCATAGCGACCCTATAGAACAGATGAAACTGCCCCATAAGGTTTCCAAGGAGTGGCTAGTGAATTTGAACTGCATGACCTTTTGGTTAGAAGCTGAACTCTTAACCACCCTGCCACTAGGGCTCTAATATCCTTAGCTGAGATACGCATATAGTGGTGATTCATTGTATGTGTATTTAATCCATGTGAATTAAGGTAGAAAGAGTAAAAATAACAATTGCTTATAGTGTAGGTGATTCAGCACCTCCCTCAGAGGGTTTGTTCTGGAATGAGTGTGAGATGGGAGACTTGAATTTGCTCTTCCCCAGTTGATGTCTCCATTCCTATGTGCTTCTTAGTGGGTGAGCATCTTGCTATTCTGAGCATGTTCAAAGTATTGTTCATGTGGCACGATTCATCACGCAAGGGAATGTTTAATGTCTACTTGAAGAAACAGTGATTTCTTTCTTGAAAGACAGTTTGCTGCTCTTTAAAAAGGGATTTCCAAGGGTATTTTTGACTAGACATGATTTTCACCATAAGTGTTGACTTTTTAACTCTATTGTCTTAGTTCATCAAATGTCACAAACTTTTTGCCATTGTATATAAAGCATTTAGAGCTGGCATTCCTGTCAAATGCAAATGGCATTTAGGACTAATATACTTTGACTTAGGATGTGAAGTAGGTTTTTCTAGTAGGGAAGAATGGAAAGTTAACATTTTGATGAAGTTCTAGCCCTTATTTTTCATGTTGGAAAACTAAAATGGATAGATGTAGGTGAAGGCCATCTTAATTAACTGTTTGGTAATGTCTCCAGGGTTTGTATTATATAGGATACTTTTTTTTTTTTTGCTTTAATCCTTTTTTTCCCCCTTAAATCTGTAGAGTGGTGGTCATGACAACAAAGTCAATTGCATACAGTGGCATCAAGACAATGGCTGTTTATATAGTTGTTCAGATGATAAACATATTGTGGAATGGAATGCACAGACATGCAAAGTAAAGTGGTGAGTAACACTGATGGTTCTGTGGTATTGGGTGACACAGTGTTTGAACAATCATGACTGTATTCCTGCTGTGTGTAAGACTTGATGTAGGACATAGTGGGGAATGTAAGCTTGAATAAGGTTATAGACTCTGTTCTCAAGGAACTTTTAATCAAATTGGACATGCAAGATTTTAATATATAAAAGGTAAATAATGGTAGAAGGGTACAATGATTGTACAAAAGATGCCGTAAGATAGCATGTGGTTACCAGTAGTGTAGTGCTAGAAGGCCTGGTGGAAGAGAAGAGATTTCAGTTGGGCCTTCCAGGATAGATGAGATTTGGATAGAAGAGGGTCAGGGAATGTTTTCAAGGGTGGGGAAAGGAAGGTGGGGAGATGGCAAGAGCATAGGCTAGGAGACAGGGAAGTGAAAGATTTGCTTGGAACTGAGAATTTAGACTAGGGGTGTAGTTGGAGATAATGGCTGGTAGAGGTTATGAGTATCTTAAGAGCCTGGCATTAAGTGTCATAGATAAAAATATCTCCATTTACCCTCCCTGTACTTGCAGCAAAAGTTTCAACTCTGATGGCCTGTCAGAAACACCCGTAGATTCTGATCCAGTAGGGCTGGGGTAGTGCCCATGCAGCTGCATTTTGAAAAAGTTGTCTGGATGAGAGTTCACAAAGTCAGGTCCTTTACCTAGGGACTAATGATGTTCAGCATGTTATTCACTTTATTTACTTAATCATAATGCTGTGAGGTGTGAACTATATTTTACAGTTGAGCAATAGGTTAAGTAAAAGCCTGAGCTCTCGTCCACTGAACTATGCTACCTCATAAAGTACTGTTGTATGTTTTCCAGTTTCATCCTTAGCTTCTCCTCCCAGAGTATAGTCTTCACTGGTCTTCAAATGCACACCCTTCTGTGATTCTGCCCCCCATCCCCCCCACCTGCTCCCATATTGTCCTGCCTTAAATATCCTTCTTTCTGTGGCTACTCTCTTTTTTTTTTCAGTCAGAGTAAACTGTAATTAAAAAGGTCAAATAGCTCTACAGGATTTCCATCCTACCTTACTGTCTCCAGTACCTTGTCCTTAGTGGCAACCACTGGTAATTCCTTTAGCTTTTCTTTGGACATTTGCCTCCATGTTTCTAAATAACATTCTTATGCTGCTGTTAATTGATTTTTATTGTCCATTTTAGGTATTATCTACTGATATCTACTATCCCCGCCCCCCTCCATCCTCTTAATATCACAGCTTTTGGCCAAGCAGTGTTTATTATTTACATTATGACTACTTAAATATGGTTACAGCTAAGCCTTGGCCTGTACTAGGTTTATATTTTCTTTATGGTACAAATTTTTGCTTTTCTTGGCATTTGTCATTGCCTAATTTTTTTGTTTGCTTAGTGTGGTGCAGTGAGTTACTTAACATGGCCCTTCTACCCATTAATCTTTGTAACTCCCATCAAATGACTAGATGAGACTATACAAAGGAAGTGCTTATAGCCCACCAAGGAGGTTGGATAACTTACTAATAATATAAATAAGGTACATGGCACCCTTGTGGGGTGAGACCATACAAATAAAATACATAGAACCCTAACGAGGGGATTGGTCAGTTTTGCAATCCTGCTAGGCTTAAAAGAGAGCCAATTCCAAAGCAGAGAGGGGACCGCATGACCATCAAGAAAGAAGAGCCAGAAGTAGAATGCGTCCTTTGGACCTGGGATCCCTGCACTGAGAACCTCCTAGGTCCTGGAGACATAGAGCGAGAGCTGTAATCCCGGAGACAGCTAGAGACAGCGAGAAGCAGCGGCAGAGGGACAGCAGCAGAGGCAACGAAACCGTCTGGCAGGAGACGGTGCAATGGGCTTCCCAGCCCACGGAGTGAGAAAGCTGAGCACCTTTGGGCAGGAGGCTTACTGGCGGAGTAGGGTACCTTTGAGCACTTGGTGGAGCTAAGCTCACCGACCCACAGAGCAAGAGAACTGAGCGCCTTCATGCCGAGGCTTATTGGTGGTGTGGGGTGCTTCCACACGCTTATCAACAGAGCTGAAACAGCTTTGTAACACTTGCCTGAGCAGGGCAGAGGCCACGCCTGCCCAAGAGGCCTGGGGGCTGAGAGTCGGAGCGAGGCCTGCCTGCAGCATGGCTGAGAAGAGGCTGTCCTGCTGATCAAAAAAATGTATCCTGAGCGTTCCTGAACCTGAGTTGTAACCTGTTACTTCTGTAGTAAACCCAGTGTAGTCTGTGAGTTCTGTGTGGCCATTGCAACGAATTATCAAACCCAGCAGATGAGTAGAGATTGCCGTGGGAGGAACAAGATGGTGTCAGAATTGGTTAAAAAAATTGTAGAGTGGAGGCATGTCTGACCTCTGCCTCATAGCAGTCATCCGGCTGTTGATCTTGATTCTACTTCTGCCTTGTGAAGTTAGAGGAGGTCAGATGCCTCCCCTGCCACGCCATTTTTACACTTAGTTTTGTATACGTTGTTAGGTGTCACTGAGTTGTCTTCCCCTCATAGTGACCCCATGTGACAGATTAGAACTGCCCCATAGGATTTTCTAGGCTGTAATCTTTACGGAGGACCCCTGGAGGCGCAGTGGTTAAGCGCTTGGCTGCTAACCAAAAAGCAATTCAAACCCACCAGCTGCTCCGCAGGAGAAAGATGTGGCAGTCTAATTCCATAAAGATTACAGCCCTGGAAATCCTGTGGGGCAGTTCTAGTCTGTCCTGAAGGGTCGCAATGAATCAGAATTGACTGAAAGGCAATGGGTTTTAACGTTTATGGAAGCAAATCACCCGGTCTTTCTCCCACAGAGCTGCTGGGTGGTTTGAACCGCCAACCTTTTGGTTAGCAGCCAGGTGCTTAACCATTTGTGCCATCAGGTGTCCTCAGTTTTGTATGTAACTATCATTAATTCATCTTTATTCCTACAGTTGTGTAAATCTGTTACTTTCAAACATGCCAGTTATTTGGCCAGTTTTTTTTTTTTTAAATTTATTGAAGGGTTTCTCTGCCCTCTTCCTTTCTGTACTGGTTATACCCGAGGTCTGCTGAACAGCGATTGTCCTGGAATTTCCTTTGCCATCATCCTGAAAATCCAGGAACCCTATTTCCTGGGTCTCATTTTTCTCTTTGTTGGTTTACTGTCTGTCCCCTTCTGGTTGAGCACATCATTTGGTAGGTTCATGTGTGGGTGGTAAATGTTGGAGATTTTGCTTGTCCACTAATGTCTTTATTTTACTATGTCACTTGGTTGATAGTTTCAGGGTATAAAATTTTAGGTTGAAATAATTTTCTTAGGATTTTGAAGGCATTGTTCCTTTGTTTTTTTTTTAAGCTTATGGTGTTAATTATACTTAATATTTTAAACTTTCCTGTGCTATTTTCTTTAGTTAATGAGTTACATTGGCACTTGATGGGACCATTCATCTGGAAATTTCTCTTTTTCTTGTACCGTTTATTTGATCACTTCAGCCCGGTTATTTTCTCTCTTCTTTCTCCAGTACTACGTACGCTGTTTAGATGTTCCATACAACTCCTGCACTGACTCTTTAAGTTTCTTAATTCTTTCTTATTTCCCTTTCTTGTTACCTAGGAGAGTTCCTTAAATTTCATCTTCCAAGCCTTCTGTTAATTAAAAGAAATCTTTTTTTTTTTTTATTTATTTAAGAGAAAGTGAAATTTATTGTTTTGTGTAAAAGGCACAGGGATATCTCAGGCAAAGCTTGATCCAGCTCAAACTATATCACCTAGAACAAACTTCTTTCTTGCTCTTCCCTGTGTCTTCTGAGGTGTCATCTTTATCCTCAGATTCTACTTAGTTTTCTTTGTAATATTAGGACTCTTCTCTTGAGATAGGAAAATGGCTATGAGAATTGCAAGTCTTACTTCTTGTAACCAAAAAAGATGCTAACCATTTCCCACAGCCCCAGCAAACATCTTTTCACTGCTTATTGACTAATTTGCTTATTTTTCCAATACTTTACTAATCATTGGTAACAGGAGGGTGGTATAAATGTATCAAACGATTTAAGTGAAGTTAAATACACCAGACCCCTCATAGCTGAGAATGGGGAAGAAGTGAACTCACCAAGGGAAATTCTGAGTACTATGGGCAACAGAAAGGAGAACTGAGTGTCAGGGAGAACTGATAAGTGTCCATTGCATTCAAGTTCCAGTTTTCCATTTCTAACAGCCAATTTTACTTTATTTCCTAACACTGACCACAATTTTAGGTAAGATATTCTTCAAAAAGCACTTTGCACATCAAATACTCTTTCCTTGCCCTTCTCTCTAATAATTCATACCATGCTTATTTGTTGGTTCTCATCTCATACTTGAAAGACTTTTGACCTTCTTGAGTCATGGTTTCTCTCAACATTCCTTTAACTAGCACCGTTCCTCAGTTTTTCGCATGTGTTTATTTATACTCAACTACATTATGAGTACATGAGGAGCTCAGGGCATGTGTCTTAGTTACCTAATACTGCTATAACAGAAATACCACAAGTGGATGGTTTTAATGAAGAGAAGTTTATTTCCTCACAGTCAAAGTAGGCTAAAAGTCCAGTTTCAGGGTGTCAGCTCCAGGGGAAGGCTTTTCCTCTCTGTCAGCCTTCTCTTTGGTGTTCCCCCGGACTAGGAGCTTCTCAGTGCAGGGACCCCTGTCCAAAGGACGTGCTCTGCTCCCAGCACTGCTTTCTTGATGGTACGAGGTCCCCTAAAAGAAATCTTCTTACTTTAATATTTTATTTATTATAATCTATCATACTATATTTTTAATATTGCGTATTTTTAACTTCCAGGAGCTATTTCTGTTCTCTAATTTTTCTTTTTTATTGCATCATACTCATACTTGTTTGATGTATATAATATCTTTTAATTCTCTGAAGATACTAATTATCGGATTAAAAAAATTTTTTTTCTTGCTCCTTGTATCATCTCCCTTTTGAAGATATTTTTGATTTGTTTGTTTGATTTTGATCTCTGTCTTCATGTTGGAAGCATTCTGCATATGACTTGCAGAGATCTTGGCTGCCTGCTGCTATTTGAATAAAACATTTAAAAAGTTCTTTGGAAGGCCTGTGTGTGGGTGTGGCTTGTCAACTCTGTTAGGCTTCATTTGTTGAGTGATTGGGAGGCCTTCAGATGTCAGTATGTGGGTCGTTTCTCTGGCGCCAGTCACATCCTCAGAGAGGAATCTTCTAATCCAGTGCTTTTTTAGCTTTTATGTGCATATGTGTGTACATCACTTGTGCAACTCTGATTCACTAGGTCTTAGTTGGGGCTTGAGATTCTGTAGCTCTAACCAGTTCTGAGGTGATGCTGATGCAGGAGGGCTGCACTTTTTTTTTTTATTTTTAATTTTTTTAAATTGTATTTCAGGTGAAGGCTTACAGAACAAGTAGTTTCTCATGAAACAGAAGTACACATGTTGTTTTATAACATTGGTTAACAACCCCACAACATATCAACCCTCTAACTTCTCAACCTCTTTTTTTGTTTGGTGAAAATGCACATAGCCAAAGAT